TGTGCGGCAATTGTCGGAATGCTGTTAAGGTTGCTGGTCTATTCTATGTAATGCCGGTAACATATAACAATTTGGTGTTGCATATAGTGCTTGAAAGGCGAACTTTTCCTTGACTGGATATGCCTGTGACCGCAGTTTATATTGACTGAATTAATTCGTTTATTTTTTTTATTTTTTGCCTTTGATATTGATTATAATTATGACTCTTGTTTAGAACAAACCCAAGAACGCCAAATCAGTTACTGAGGAAACTAGTTTAGAGGAATTCTTGGCGAAAGTTGAACTAGCAACAACGGCTTTTACCGCGGAACGTGAAGATGTGAAAATTCTTAAGAAGTTTGTTTTTTAACTGCTTATGTCAAAGATTTAGGAAGCAAAGTTTTTTTTCTGAGGGAGATTTGAGTATTTTTTCGGTCGCTTTTTACCAATAAATATATTTAGCAAAAATTATAGGGGTCCCTCATTTGTTGCACCTACAAAGACTGAAATCTCGGACAGTTTAGAACTGCAGCGGCTGTACGCTGATCGTTTAAAAATACCTAGAAGGCCACCACATGGTTTGTGGCACTCCGCAGAAGAGTTAGTCGCACTTGAGAAGCAGAATTTTTTGGACTGGAGGAAATCGATTGCTGATTTGCAACAGGCAACTGGATCTTTTACCCTGATTTCTGAACACATCTTATTGCACCTTACGCTTTATACACTCGCCGTAGTTATTGTCCTTGATTACTTATTATTTTTTAACTCTTCGTCATGTTCTCTATTTTAACTATTTGAGGTTGACGGAGTTATGTTGACTCCCTTCGAGCGTAACTTGGAGTTGTGGAGGCAGCTTTGGAGGGTTGTTGAACGTAGCGATATTGTTGTTCAGGTATAAATGTGATAATTAGTTTTGGTGTTCAACATCTGCAATTAAATTAAGAACAGATATCAGAACCATTGCTTTTACAGATAGTAGATGCACGTAATCCTTTGCTGTTTCGGAATTTTGATCTAGAGTCGTATGTAAAAGAATGCGACCATGCGAAGGAGAACCTATTAATAATAAATAAAGCGGACCTGTTGACCGAAGAACAGGTTCAGCTGTGGAGGGACTGGTTTTTGGAACAAAAAATTGATGCAGTTTTTTGGTATTCAATTACTTTTCAGCCTTTGACCTTCTGACCTATATTTCTTATTATTGCAAATTTTTGAGGTCAGCTTTGGAGCCTGGAAATCCCGAATCATTCGACTGTGCTACTCCTGGAGCATCTTTATCAGAAGTCGAGAAGAAAGAAGATGGTACAGTTTATTCTGATACCAGTAAAGATACTGAAATTTTGCTTCAGAAGGCCCCGTTTTTAAAGAATTCCAGCGTTGGTTTTTTTTTTATATTCCACTGTTAGGCTTTTGTACGATTAAGTTTTTCATGAAAATTTCGTTTTTTAGATAATTCTTCTTGATTTCTTATTTTTTGGCTTCTTTCTTTCCAGACCATTTTTTTAAGGTTGTATCAGGTTAGATTGTAAGTTATGATGCATCTCGATGGAATGTTACAGGATTTTGTAGGACTTGGTTAAATATTTGAAATCGCGACTGCTTAATCGGTCAGATTCCACTTTTTCTAAATGCCCCATTGTGGTTGGAATGGTTGGATACCCGAACGTTGGTAAAAGTTCTACGATAAACCGAATTATCGGGAAGAAGAAGGTGGCAGTTTCAGCGACGCCGGGGAAGACTCGTTGTTTACAAACATTAGTCGTTGATGATGAGGTATAAATTAGGTTTAGATGGGCATTTTTTATGTAGCTTATTTTGCTAAAGCAGTGTAGTATTCCTTTGCATAATTTTAGTTGCTTCGTTTAGAAAAGACATTTTCTGAACGGCCTTGTTTTTAGCTGACGCTTTGTGATTGCCCTGGATTAGTAATGCCATCCTTTGTCTTTAACCGTGCTGAAATGCTGCTTAACGGCATTTTACCTGTTGATCAGATGCGCGAGTGTTTTAGCCCGGTCGCACTGATCGCTACCCGTGTGCCACGTATTTGTTTTGAAGCCATGTATTCGGTAATGTTGCCAAAACCTGCTGCACATGAAGATGAGGACCGCCCTCCTACTCCACATGAATTACTAACTGCTGTAGCTTTTATGAAAGGTCAGTAATGGTTGTGAAAACCTCGGAGGTTTCATATTTTTAGACAGTATGATTTTTTTCTTTCCCTTCTTCCGAAAGAGTATTTTTATGAGAATAGATTTGGTATTTGTTGGAAATTTTTCAAACTTAAGTTACTTTCTAGGTTTTATGTCTTCTGCCGGGATACCTGACTGCTCTAGGGCGGCACGATTTATAATCAAAGACGTTATTAACGGCAAACTGAAATGGGTGGCTGCGCCTCCAGGAATATCTCAAGATTTGTTCGATAGATATACTTATCGAGAATTTCTAGATTTAAATAAAGAAGAGATAAAAAAGAAAGGAGCTGTGTTGCTGCAGCAGGTATTTTTTTTGAATGAGGTTTACTTATTGTTATTCGTTACTCTGTAATTTTTTGATTTTATATGCCAAAGTTTTAGCTTGAAAAGCGTCATCTTTTGGAAGGTACTGCTGCTGTTGACAGATTCGTTGATGAGCGTTTTTTCTCACTTAAAGAAAGTGGTGTGCATACAAAATCGGCAGTACCGGAATCACCTTTTATCTATAATACTAAGTTAAAAAATGGTCGAATTTGCCTTAAGAAGGGAAAACGTGAGAAACTGAGGAGACTATATTCATATCTGGATGCCTGAGCAGTATTTTTATTTTTTATTTGGAGTAGACTGTTTGATTGGCTTTGCGATGAAATTATTTGTTAAGTGCTGCAAGATGTTGCTTTATAAACTTTTTGACTTATTTTATTCTCTCTCTGCGAATATAAGCGGATTTTCTGAAGTTTACGAAG